TGACGAGTGAGTCATCAGCTGAAGAAGTGTTTGATAGTGATTCATATATGAAATAACTGAAACAAGCAATGGTCATGCTAACTAGAGCTTTCCAGAAAAAGTTCTACAAGAAGCCACATTCCAATAGTCAAAGATTTTCATCTCGGTCCAAGTATGATTACAAGGACAAGTTCGGAGAGAAGAAAAAGTTTGATGAAAATAAGTATGAAAGGAAAGTTTGATGAGAAAAAAGAAGTTTGGTAAAGTTGTGGCAGATGAAAATACCAAGTGTTACAACTGCCGGAATAAAGGACATTGTGTTGTGAATTGCAGGAAACCAGTGTCCAAGAACACTGATTACTACAAGAATAAGTTCCTTCTTTCCAAGCAGAAGGATGTTGGTAAGGCCTTGATGGCGGAAGATGACCATTTGTTGAACATAACCGATGATGAGAAAGAAGTAGATGCTGTTGCTTATATTTGTCTTATGGCTAGAGCATAATCAGAAATGTCTGAAGATGAGGATGCTAAGTTTGAATCAAGTTTTGAGGTACTTGAATGTTCATATTAGATCAGATGCAAAGAATGATGCTAAAATTGGAAGATTTTCAGCATAAACTCAAAAATGAAAAAGATCTTGTTGCTATTTTGGAAAAAGAACTTACAAAACAACAAAATAACTTTCTTAAACTAAATTACAAAAATGCTGGAAATTTTTCATGGGCTCAATCTATAACACCCCAAACTTTAACATTTGCATATAACATATACTTCATATAAAAGAAATGCAATTTATACCACAAGGTCCCACTAGTACAAGAATCTTATATACAGAAATTACAACCCAAAATTTTTCAAAAGAATATTCTTGAAATAACACATTTATAACAACATTATCTTCAAAATACAATATCAACAGGTTGATCTTCAAAAAAGCAGATAAGCACAAAAGAAAAATATACACATTTTCCCCTTCCCCTTATCTCTTGATCCTGCTAGACCTGCAAATGCATATTCTAAAATACAAAATGAGGGTTAGACCGGAAGGTCTAATGAGAAAATCCCTTCTTTGCAATTACAGGGTGAAGATCACCAAAACTTGTTAAAATCATCTTTTGCAAATAGATAAATGTATTTAAGCAAAAGCTTGCAAATCTGTTTGCTACCCAGAGTATAAAACAAACAGAACATATAACACTTACACGCACATTTTGAAATCCACATCTTTTACTAAACACAAAATTCCAAAACTCCTTTGACTCAACAGGCCAGAGCTCCTTTGTTTACATGATATCATTTCAGTATTGGTTTTCCAAAAAGTGTTTTAGTGATTTTCACCCTGTAATTTTCACCTTGTGGTCTAACCCTCATTTTGTGTTAAAAATGTGCATTACAGGTCGGGCACCAATGGAAGGGATATGACCTGTAGAGAGAGAAGAAGTTTGAGAATGAGAGAGCTCAAGGTTAGTAAAAAAAATAAAGAAGTGGAAGGGGTAAGGTGTATACTTGAGGGTTCCTCAGTAGTATCCGAATGATTACCGCTAAGGCCAAGCGTCTCGAATGCGCTGTCGAGATAATCAGTTGCATGTTGTTGAGGGGAGTCGAGAGGAACATCCTTAGGTCCTGTGGTGATAGCTTCACCAATAGTGGGGACAAGCACCATTGATTCATTAGCTCGTGTGATAAAGACCAAAGAAGGAGGGGAGGAGAGAATGGTTGAGAAAAGAAGTGAAGGATCAGTAGTAGTAATACTGGAAATCACACATTCAGTAATTTGAGTCACTGAAGTGGTTGGGGTATGTGCCACACATACAACAACAATAGAAGATATTGCTGAAGTGGAAGGGAGAGGAAAAGAAGATGTCTCAGGGTTAAGGCATAGCTCACTAGATGAGACCTGTTGAGAGGTCTCAACTAGCTGAGAGGGCTTCCACTTTATGACTTTCTTAACCCTCTTTGAGGGATTAAGAGTGGCTTCAGAGGGTGTCCTTTTTCAAGAGGATAAAGAGGTAGTAGCTTGGGTAGACTGAGGGGGGTTGGACATAGTCATGGCTACCGAAGAAGAAGAAGGAAGAAGAAGAGAAGCATTGGCTATCCTAAGTTTTTGAGGGAATATACCAAAGTTTGAAGGCTTCGACTTGTGATCAAGAATCCTTGATCCAAGCATACAGAGGGGAAGGTCACTCTGAGCGGGGTATTTTGTTGCAAGGATTCTGGCTAGAATCCCGCTCAGAAACTTGGTGTAAGGAGCCACCTTTTCCCGTTGACGTTTGTTCAACATTAGCGCCAAGTCATCAAAAAGCTGAGCGTAGTTGACGTTGACATTTCTGATAACTGAACATCCAATGTTCAGTGCTAACTTGCTTGCCTGGTCTTGCATCCTGTCCTACCCATGCATTGAATAAAATGAGAAAACAAGTATTGCCAGATCGCTGACATTCTATTCTTCTCAATCTTGGTCAGAAACTTGTTGAGATATGAATCAGAGTCTTTCTTCAACGGCCAACCATAGTGAATATCGTCTAGAAATTTGATGATAAGATCACTGTCTGGATCGCGGTAGTAGGGGACTGTCTTCGGGATCCATAGAGTAGTGTGAACCGTTGAGTAACCAAAACTCATCGTCATGTTGTTGATCTCACAGAAGATCCTGACAATGGAGTTTCCTTCTTTGTCCTTTGAGGTCTTCATTGATCTGTCAATATATACATACCACAAAATTATTCAGTTGAGAAAAAAATTACCTTGAAAAGTTGCATAATTGTGATGCATATGATCATAGATAAAGAATTGAGCACCTTTTTTTTTTTGGGTCACTAACACTTCCAATTTAGTGAACATATCACAAACCTTTCTAGGTCACTGCAATTAAGACAATTCAATCAACTCAAAATCATGTTTAATCAACTTTTTGATATGGTAGTTTGTTGGTGAATGATTTTATCCATCATATTTATATTTGAAGCATAAAAAGTCATCTCATTTTTATCATAGTTAATTTTTTTTTAATATATTTTTTAACACTTAGAATTTATTGTTCACAAATTTTTGGTTACTAACCCTTTCAAGTCTACAATTAATGAATGCTACTTACTAAGCTAACCAATATTTTTTGGTTACTAACACTTCTATTTAATAACCACCATTTTTTTAGTCACTAACCCATCCAAACACTATAATTCTACTACTAATGAATACCACTTAGTGACCACTTTCTTTTGTCACTAACACTTTCAATTTAATGATCATATATTTTGGTCATTAAAATCTCCAATTTAGTCACCATTATTTTTATCACTAACCAATCCAACTTATTACAATTCTATAACTAATGAATATCATTTAATTAGTGACCATTATTTTTTCGTTAGGAACATTAATTTAGTGACGACCATTTTTTGGTCACTAATCCTTTTAATGTAATAACTATTACTTTTTGAAACACAAAGTTGTAAAAGAAATTCCTTTTAATTAGTGACCACTTAGTGACCAAATTTATTTTTGTCATTAAAATTCATATAGCGTTAAAAAATAATGACCACCTTGGTTATCGTCACTAATTATACTACCGACCACAATATAAGTAATTAATACTAGAATTTTGGTCACTAAGAGCATCCATAATGGAGATTCCTGGTGAGATTTCTCTTGGAGTTTTTACAAGAACCTTTATAGTGAGGTAGGAGTGTTGTCCAATCATATGTTCTTATTAGAACCCAAATGTTTGAGCAAGAACTGGGTTCTTGCATACATTCATTTTTTGTTATTTTTTATTATTATTTGTTAACCAAATTATTTTCCGTTAATAAATATAGATAACATAGAAAGTTAAGACTAATAAAAATATAAATTAATTATCATAAAATATTTTTTAATTTTGTTTTTGGTAAATTTTTATACAAGATTTTGTTTTTTCTCGTCTTCTCGTAAATTAGTTTGCTTCTCGTATGAACCTCCCTCAAATATAATAATCTATAAATAAAACTACATTCTATAAATAAAAAAATGGAAGTGAGATTTTTGTAAGTACTTCCATTGTGGAGTTTTATTAAGGTTCTTACTTTATTGAAATGTCAATGATGTGGCAAAAAAAAAAAAAATAGCAAGTGAGGTTTTTGGAGGTTCCACCACTATTAGTACTCTCAACTAAGCTTTTTCTATAATGCCACCAATGAATCAACATGTGCGACTAGGAATGGCAACGGGCGGGGTATTGTTATGCCCATCCCCGAAACCGATAGCTAAAACCGTCCCCATAACCGTCCCGATCCCCTTCAGGGATCTTATCGGGGATTCCCATCGGGTCCCCGCGGTTTCCCTGATCCCCGTTGGGGAACCCGTTAAGGGTAAAAATCATCTTTTTCACCGTTGGTTATACGAACCCGAAACCCGAACCCGAACCCGAAACCGATCTGAAAAAAATTGCAATATGCTAATTTTCACAATTAAAAGTAAATTAGAATTTTTTTTAAAGATGTAAGTTAAAATGTCTCAAACATAATGGAACCAATTACAAACAATATATTATATTACACTATAGAACTAAACAGAAATTCAAACATCATACAACTAAAGTCACGATTTTAGACAAATAAACTCGACTTTTTTGTAAGCTTTATTTAGGTTGTTTATATAAAGTGGATAAAAGTGTTTTAAATTTTAATGTTATTATTTAATTTTTCAACATTAACTTGGGGAACCATAGCTAAGATTAGTTGAGGTATGCTTAAGTTGACCTAGAGACATACGGTTGTAGATAAAAACTCTCGTGAATTTGGAATTCTCTTCAACAGAAAAACAGATACTTCAACAAATACTTAAGACAATCTAACATTGTAAATATACACGATATGATAGGTGCCTTCTAGTCTTACTTGTAATCATGTTCATTATATACATTAATTTGATAAATTATAGCTGAAATTGTACAGTTTTTTTACATTATCAAATCATCAGTCTGTGCACAATAAACTTCCAGGAGCACTTTGCTAAACTTTCATAAAGATTCCTTCATCTTTTATCTACTTCCAAGCAGAAACTCTCACCAATGGAGCTCCTCTATATTCCAGGACCATTTCATTCCCATTTTGCCCTTCAACCTTGATCTTGTATGAACTCTCTCTCCCCTTCACCATTTCTTTAGCTTCCGCTAAACTCTCTTTGCTCAGTCTCCATCCCATTAACCCAAGATTTTCTTTAAATTCAGAGTCTTCCCTCAGATTTACCCACTTTTTATGCCACAAGAGAGATGAAACATATGGTGCCACAAAAAGCGACTCCATGGCTATTCTTGCTTCCGTAAGGTACTCCGGAAAGTTTCCTTCCATTGACTCACAGAGGGTCTGGTAGTGGTTTAAGCATTCATCAATGAATGAACTATACCCCCCACAATATTTCATTCTTTCCACATCTTCTCCATCGCCAATGGTTATGATTCCTTTGTTCTTTGATAATAATTGCTTGGCAACCTTCAGAAACTCCTTCACTTGACTTCTACTCCTTGTCCTCCCCATGTGTGGCAGTTCAAGCATACAATTAAAGGCCAAACATTCATGATCTTCTGATTCTTCAATCTCGTTCACCAATTCCCCAATTGTGATCTCTTGGACATCCAATTTTAAACCAGAAGCGCTTGCATAATCAAGGAGCTGGTTTCTTGTCTCCTCGAAACTAGTGTAACTTTGCTCGCCCGTTCTAATGGATGTCAGCTTTGTTTCTTTTCTTAGCTTCCCAAGAGCATCTAACATTGTAGGCCATTGAACTCCCTCACCAATGTCAAAATCTATAATGTGCACCTTTCCTGAATCACTCATTATTGCTTCAAGAATTGCTGAATTGGCTGCAAAATGAGAAAATCTCCCATATGGGAAAATTTCATAGAAAGCTTTGAATGCTGCCTTGAAATTCTTCAGCGACTCCTGTTTGATGTAGTCGCCTTGATTTCCTGATTGAAACAGGTTGAAGGCAACACGTTCCATGGTTCCACCAAGCGGACTAGCTTTCTCGTTTATGCATCCCACGATCACGTTTGCTAAGTCCTCCTGTCCCATCTCCATGGCTTCTCCATAAGCTTTGAGTAGACGACGAAGGCTTGTTCGGCCTTCAACTTCCATGTCATCTGGTGGCAGCATCAGGGAGTGGTTCATCAAGTCGTCCCCAGATCTTAGAAACGGGCTGCCACAGAGACCTTCGTTCTCCGTCGAATCAAAATTGCCAGTTTCTTCGCTTTCACCCCACCATCTCAATGCATCTTCAAGTGTAGTGTCCGAAATGTCTTCAATCCCTTCCACATGTTGTGACATATTCTCCATAGGAAATACGACTTGCATCTTATCGTCCATATTAGATAAGGTACTAAGATCACTAGATAATATACTCTGAAAACACAAATCGGAGGAGATCATGGAGGAGTCCTCATCAGGGGTGGAGATGGAGCAGTAGAATTGATGGTCATCATATGGATAAGAACCCATTTTGGTACCATATCCTCCAGCTTGATCAAGGTCTTGTTGAAGGAATGATTGAAGCACTTCTGGATGCATCATTCTTGATAAGAATTGGATGTAAGTAGGAGTTTTCTGTTTTTTAAGTGGGTTGAACTCCTTAGCTGTTACCCCATATATATATATATATATATATATATATATATATATATATTGGTGATCTAATATGGACAACTCTAAAACAAAGAAGATTCAGACTCAGTATTCTTGAAACATTTCTATTCTAATACTTATTAATTAATCAGTTAAATCTATCCATCATTAATACATTTGTCGATATTCAAAGTTTGGAAAAGGCAAATGCGTGATGTTAAAACTCTTAAACAAGAGTTATATCAAATTCAACTACTTGCACCTTCTTCTGTTTTTCTGCATGGATTCCCCATTAAAAACCTCATCTTTCTTGGAAGTTTCTTGGAGGTAGGTGTGATGTATACTTCAAATATAATCTAATCAAGAATTGCATAAGTTGTATCTTGATGTCACTTCATGTAAATTTCTTATTCACAATTCATATTCAACTTTAGGGTTTATGTTAAAAGTAGTGGGGTCCACTGATCTCCTTCTCATTGGGGGAGAGAGAGAGATTAGTGTTGAAATTACCTATTCAAAATCAACTTTAGGGTATATGCTTCGTAGCAAGGTTAATTACCTATTCACAAATATGGAGTATTTTCTATGGCTTTCCATTTTCATTTTCATTTTCTGTAGGTGACGTGAAGAGAAATTCGTTGACTTAAAAGTTGAACAAATTAATTGCATTTGAGCATCAAACTAAAGTTGATGGGAATTCTAAGAGCATCTCCCGCTACAATATATCAATAAATAATTGTCATGAAAGACTATTTTATAAGATATAATTTATAGGACAAAAAAATAAAGTGTCCCATTTAAAAACGTTGTAACAAGTTTATAGGATGCTTTTGGACGTCGTAATAAGTTTGTTAGGACACTTTTATAGTAAAATGTCATAATAGCTATTTTAAATTTATAGTACACTATTTGAAACATTATCTTATAAAAACAAGTGTCTTATAAAAAAGATGAGTTTATAAGAAGTTTTCTCAAAAGTATCCTATATAAAGTAGCTAATGCAACGTTCGTATTTACAGTATCCTAAAAAACTTGCTAAGATGCTCAAAAGCGTTCTATAAACTTATTACAACTCTTTTAAATAGTTTTAATCATATAAATTAAGTCTTATAAAACAGTTTATTATGACGCTTATTTATCGATGACGTTCTATAAACCCAATTTTGTTGTAGTGTCCAATAATCACCACCATTTTTAACACCAAAATGGTGTAATTTATTGGTACAGACGGTCATCTTCAACCATCAACACCGTACAAATTTGGACCGGAGGGTAATATAGTTGTGATCATGGTCTAATTAATTTGATTATTTGGCTAGTAGGATTCTTGTTGCAAACCAAAATTAAAGTTCTTAAACACTTTGCTGCAGGGGTTAGTTCTTCAGCCTTCTTAATTAATTCCGAGATGACACCTTAATTCATAAAGACAAGGTTAATTAAACAATGGGTAAGGGTACAATTTAATTTGTAACCGGAAGATCACAGATTGGGAATTAATAGCGTCTTTACAAAATGTAGGGAAAGACGACCACATACAAAATGGAATTCTTCAACCTTCTTAACTAATTAATTAATTCCCAGTCTGTCTGTAATGCATCAGAAATCCAATTTTCGAAGGTGAGAGTACTAGGGACTTGGTTCTCAACCCGTTGCAAAGTGGGGATACTTACGAGAACGTGAGAATACCCTTTTATCATAGACAATCACATATGATACTATTATTCTATTACATATGATATACATGTGATACTAGATCAAAGACACGGGCGATTTTCGGCGCGATCTTGGTTGCGGGCCAAGTCGCTCTTACACCACCAAGCCCCCTCACATGTATTATCACATGTGATAAGGGTGTTGTTGATATGATACTATAATTCATCAAGGCCATCACATATGTTGCTAAATTATAGACGCATACAACATTTGGCACGGCCTAAGTCGTCGTACAACACGTCTTCCGCATATCACCAGGCCCCTCACACGTATTATCACATGTGATAAGGGCGTTCTCGCGTTCTCGTAAAATGGAGGTGTTTTAGTTTGAACGTCCACCTATATATATATATATATATATATATATATATTTATAGGGGAGCGTTCAAATAAAAACCACTCACTTTGTCAAAACCGTGAAAACCTCATTCAACCAATCATAATTTTTTCATTTTGTTCATTTTTTTATAATTATGAGATGTTGATTAACCATTTTTATTGTGGAGGGTGTTAATCATGGATATTATCATATTCATTATTTTAATTTTAGAGAAATACATGAAACAGTTTCATTAAATATTATATGAAACAATTTCATAACCATATATGAAACAAATTCATCAAAAAAAAAAGTATTATATGAAACAATTTCACAAGATTAAACAATTTCATGAAAAAATTTCATAAGATTAAACAATAAAATCGACGTATGAGGGTGGTTTGTACAAATGAGGGTGATTTTTCATTTGATCGCTCCTCTCTCTCTCTCTCTATATATATATATATATTATATATATATATATATATATATATATATAGGGATGGGTTCATGTGAGACCAAATGTTTTTCGTGAGACCCGTAAGCTTGATCAACTTTATAAGCTAATGATCTAATGGTCTAAAGTTGCACGGTGACAATTTTGTAATTATTGAGAAGTCTCGTGGTGTTTATGAATATTCAGATCTGACAATTGTAGATATCATCCAAGGGTTGAGAATTGGTCTTACGGGTCTCACGAAAAACCATTGGACTCACATGATCTCAAGTCTCTCTCTCTCTCTCTCTCTCTCTCTATATATATATATATATATATGGGCACGTTCAAATGAAAACCGTACATTTCTAAGAAACCGTGTAAACCAATTTCGACCAATAAGAAAATTCCATTTTTTTCTAATTAAAATTAATCAATAAGGGTATTTCAGTCATTTACAATATTTTCTATTAAATATGAAAGTTATTAATAAATCTTAATTAAGGAAACATAATAAAAGAAATTGTATAAATGGTAACATTTAAATATTTAATTATATTATAATACTAAAAATTTGAATTTCATATATTGTAATCTTTAAGAATCAGCAAACGGGTCTTGATGAAACAATTGAAGTGTATAATGAAATCATCAAATCGTAGATGAAAATCTAGAAATGAAACAGGTTTCATGTTGCAAATAAATTATGTGAACTGAAACATTTTCATGGTGAACCCGTTGCATGATTGTGTAGTTGATCCATTTAGTTGGTGAAGAGGAAAATGAAACCGGTAGATTTTGTATTTGATGCGTCATGAACTAAGTGCATGATGAAACGAGGAAATAATTTTAATCTGCTACAAAATCTTGAAGATTGTAACCTGCTCCAGAATCTTGAAGATTGTAAGGCTTAAATGTATGAATCTATCAAATCAGTGGTGAAATAAGAAAATTACTATACATGAAATAGGTTTCATGAAAGTGAAACTGGTTCATGACGTTCTTGAGCATGACTAGTGAAACGGTTGCATAATGTATTTGGTTCGTCATGAAATAATTGAATGATGAAACGCGTACATGAAGAAACTGCTCTAGAATTTTGAAGATTGTAATATGCTTTAGAATCTTTAAGATTGCAAGGCTTAAAGGAATTAATGTATCAAACCAGGAACGAAATGAAGAAAATAATTTTTGCATGAAAAAAAATTCATGAAAGTAAACTAATCTTGGAAGAAAATAATTTTGCATGAAAAAAGATTCATGAAAGTAAACTAATCTTGGAAGAAAATAATTTTGCATGAAAAAAGATTCATGAAAGATCGAGTAGGATGTTACCAAATATTAAATTTTGTTTACCATTTATGCCTTCACTGTTGAAATAAAATAAAATTTTAATATATTTTTTTATTTAATTATCTAAAATAAAGTAACCTAATTTTGGCCATTGATCAAGAAAATGAATGGATGAGATTGATTTACACGGTTTATACAAATGGGGCCGGTTTTTATTTGAACGCTCCTATATATATATATATATATATATATATATATAGGGGCCTAATCAAATGAGAACTAATTAGTTTGTGGTAACTGTGAGAACCAATATTAACCACAAATCAATAGATAAATTAGGAAATTTATAATTTTATATATATATATATCAAGATGCACTTTTACCTTCATTCTTAAGATTTTTTTGTAGTTGGTGTGAACATTCAAGTCCCTTGTCTATTTGTTTGGAGAAACCCAAGTGTCAAACATATATCATATTTTTTTATAAAATGAAGAATTTTTTTAAGTGGATGCTCATTGATCGCATAATACAAGTGAATAGATTCATTAATGAATATATACAGTATATATTAGTTAGTGCATATACTCATTAATAAGATTTATATAGTGTATATTTATCATGAATACACATTATAAAATGAATTCATTGGTTCTTAAATTATTTTTGGTTCTCACGTGAACCCTGTATATATTATCCTATGGATTAACATATAAGTTGGTCATCAACCATGCTATCTCCTTTGTCATATACATGTGGATACTGGTTTTCATTCTTCTTTGTACTTGTTACTTAATTGGTGGCTGATTTATATCCACACACATGCAAATAGATACCGATTTACGAGTTATTAAAGAATACAAGTTATTCCGGACTAAATTTCCCATTTGTAGTTTAAGATAATCTTTGAACCATGAAGTAGTAGAAAACATATACAAGTATTATTAAACTAGAAGTAGATGTTGTCCAAGACTTTTATCGTTTCTCTTGTCACTAGTTTATTGGTCATATGTGGTCACTAGATTAGATTAGAGGGCTTTTATTCAAACACTTACCCAATTAATGCTAACCTGTAAAATTTAACACTATCATTTACTTTATGGGGTAAATTTTAGTCCATCAAAATGATATCGTATGTAATAATTTATCCGGAAAACGCTAACCAGTAAGAGTCGTCACCCTCACTTACC